ATTAGGCTTCAATTTCCTTACCTATAAGAATAACATCTATCCATACATCAGATGTAGCACTGCTATTGTAACCAATTAGCTCATTTAGTTTTGGAATTAAATCAAGATGACAGGCTCTCTTCTGGCATAGTTTAACTTTATGGGCATAGCTTGTAACAGGGCCCTAAGCTCAAATGGCCTTTTTAAAACACACATTGTTGACTACAACAAAGTGCAGACTGGGGGGAAAAAAAAGAAATCTAGGTAAATTAGTTCAAAAACATTAACATTTGCAGAAACAACTACTTCATTACTCAAAATGCATACCTTACTCAGTACTCACATCTTCATAGAAAAGAAGACATTCATCAGCAGGCCCTTTTTGCAGGCCTTGTTTGCAGTTGGGAAATGGATGTTATAGCAAAAATGTAGAAACTGTTCAACAGCCTACAGTGGAACAGCATCTTACAAGGAGGGCGGGGGGGGAGGGGGGGGGCAGTAATATTCCAAACTCTGTTGTGTAAGGTGATGACACGGTACTCTGGAAAATCTTAAAACCACACAAAATATAGTACAGTATCTTTAAAAAGTTACAGCTAGAAAGGAGACAAGTCTTATTAAAAGAAGGCAGTGGGTATTAAGACAGCAAGTGAGACTTGAGATGGTTGTTATGGAAACAACTGATGCAAATTTTATTTTTCACAATTCATTAGTTAAATTATTAATTAAGAGAAGCAAGTAGTCAGAACTTCCATTCAAAGGAAGACAACTAAACAGGTGGAGTCTTAGCTGGCTGGAAAACTGATAATTAAGGAAAAAATATCCTTGAAAAGGCTTCACAAAAAAAATTAGAATGAAAATGGTCTTTTACTCCTGCTTCACCGTGAGTCAAGTGGAGATACAACAAAGTAAAAAGGTACACCGCAGTGACCTTCCAGATGAACAGAGAAAACTAGGAAAGCCAACTAAGGCTACTTGCTGTTAGCTCTACCATTTTGTAGGCATAATGAAGATAATGTTCTAGAATCACACTCAGTGCTTCCATGTGTTGAGACCAGCTTAAGGACTGCCCTCTCCATCTCACATGCATTCCTGGGTATGGGCTATTTGCATTTAGTAGTGACCAGAACTGGTACTATTTAAATTGTAATTTTTCCTATTTTTTTTGGCTAGTGTGTCTAGTGGAATTGTGGAGTTGAATTTGGGTAGGTTAAATGTTCATGCCATGCCTACTCTATTGGTTTTCTATTCTCACAATCAAAGGTCTTCTTTGAGTCAACAAGGAAGGCAAAAATCTTTTTAGAAAATAGATGTATAAAATAGTGGAAAAGATGTGGGAATATTAGAACACTAATGCATTGCTGGTGGAGTTGTGAACGGATCCAACCATTCTGGAGAGCAATTTGGAACTATGCCCAAAGAGCCATAAAAACGTGCATATACTTTGACCCAGCAATAGCACTTCTAGGGCTGTATCCCAAAGAAATCATAAAAATGGGAAAAGGACCCACATGTACATTTATAGCAGCTCTTTTTGTGGTGGAAAAGAAAGAACTGGAAATCGAGGGGATGCCCATCAATTGGGGAATGGCTGAACAAGTTGTGGTATATGAATGTAACCGAATACTATTGTGCTATAAGAAATGATGAACAGGCTGACTTCAGAAAAACCTGGAAAGACTTGTATGGACTGATGCTGAGTGAAGGAGCAGAACCAGGAAAAAGTTGTACAGTAACAGCCACATTGTGCGAGGACTAACTTTGATAGACTTAACTCTTCTCAGCAATTCGAGGATCTACGATATATCCAGAAGTTTTATGATGGAAAATGCTATTCACATCCAGAAAAAGAACTATGGAGTTTGAATACAGATCGAAACATACCATTTGCTCTTTTTTTTTCTTCTGTTTTGTTTTGTTTCTTCTTTCTTGTGGTTTCTCCTATTGGTTCTAATTCTTCTTTACAACATGACTAATGTGAAAATATGTTTAATAGGAATGTATATGTAGGGCCTATATCAGAGTGCATGTCATCTTGGGAAGGGAGGTAGAGAAAATTTTAAACTCAATAGCTTATAGAAGTGATTGCTGAAAACCAAAAATAAAATTAATTAAAAAAATAAAAATAAATGTATAAATAGTTTTCAATCATTGCTCTCTCTAACGATTCTCTAAGGCTACGTTGGAATTAATAATTCCATGTACTGAGTTGATGGGAGAGATTTTCAGGAAAAAAAAATAACTTGGCATTAAGGTTGCTCAATCTGATGTAAGTCATGGATTATCTTTTTTATTTAAAAGTGCTTGCTGGACAAAGGATCATATTATAACTAAACTAGGGGTGCAAAGAAGAAATTATCTGTTACATGTATGGAAAAGGAAAGAGTTCATGACCAAATTAGAGATAAAGAAGGTCACAAGATAAATGGATAATTTTAATTACATAAAATTCAAAAAGATTTTGCACCAATAAAACCAATGCAGCCAAATTTAGAATAGAAGCAGATAAATGGGCAGTAAGTTTCTTTGACAAAGACTTCATTTCTAAGATATATAGGGAATTTTCTTAAATTTATAAGATTAAGAGCTATTCCCCAAATGATAAATTGTCTTAGGATATCACTAGGCAGTTTTAAAAGTAAGAAATCCAAGATATCAATAGTCACATGAAAAAATCCTTTAAATCACTAATACTTAGAAAAACTCAAAGTAACTCTGAGATTCCATCACATTCCCATAATATTGACACAGTTGACAAAAAAGCTAAATGATAAATGCTAGAGGGTTTATGGGAAAATAGGCTGTGAAATCCAGTCATATTCAAAAGCAATTTGGAAATATGCCCCCCAATTATTAAACCATCCATGCCTTTTAGCCCAACAAAACCACTACAAGCTTTATACCCCCAAAGAGCTCAGAGGGAGGAAAAATACCCATATGTACAAAAATATTTATATCAGCTCTTTTTGTGGTTAGCAAAGAATTGGAAACTGAGGGGGCACCCATCAACTGGGTAATGGCTAACAAAGTTATGATAAATATATGTGATGGAATACTACTGTGCTATAAGAAAAGATGAAGGGGATGGTTTCAGAGGAACATGGGAAGACCTGTATGAATTGATTCTAAGGAACTGAACAAAACCAGGAAAACAATTTATACAGTAACAGTGATACAGCGATAATTTTAAAAGACTTAGGAACTACGATTAACATAAGGACCAACTACAATTCCAGAGGATTCAAGATGAAATATGTGATATACACATTTTGGAGACTTTTTTTTTAGGGGGGGAAGGGGAGAACATGGCCAACTTGGAAATTTGTTTTACTTGACTGTACATGTTTGTAACTGGGTTTTATTTTTCTTGCTTTCTGAATTTGGGAGTGGGGGAAGCTGGCAGGGAGAGAATGTAGATCTTAAAACAAAATTCCATTTAAAAACAGTGCCCTGAGATGCAGCTAGGTGGCGCAGTTGACCAAGCACTGACCCTGGAGTCCGGAGGACCTGAGTTCAAATGAGACCTCAGACACTAGCTGTGTGACTCTGGGCAGGTCACTTGATCCAGACTGCCTCAAAAAAAAAAATTTTTTTTTTAAACCAGTGTCTGCCCAAAGATTGGAGAATGACTGAACAAACTGCGGCATATGAACATAATGGAATATTGTTCTGGTATAATTGCCAGAGATCTGGCTTTGCGGACAGACTTCATTCAGTTCAAATCCTCCCTCTGACAAATATGACTATGGGCCATAAGGAAGTCACTCAACCTTTCAATGTACCTGGCAACTTGGAAAACACTAAGTTACAAAAAAGAAGCACAGCCAAATATGACGTAGAGGCAGTCATACCCAAAGGAAATCACAGGCCCAGACAGAGGAAAAATGAGAATCATAAGATTGTCATCAGTCTAGACCTGCAAGCAAGGGTTTTGTATTCCACCTTGGCAGTCTGGCAAAGTCTATGGCCTTTTTCTCAGAATATTTTTAAAGGCATAAAATACATAAGATTACAAAAGAAACCAATTATATTGAAATAAGGATGATTTTCTCCCGACTGGAAGTCACCTTAGATGGCATCTAGAGTCCATTAAAAAACATTCAGGCTCAAGAGTTCTAATTTTTCCAAGGTCACACACGAAGTGAGAGGTGGAATTTGAACCCAGGCCCTCTCACTTCTGAGCTGGTGCTTTCTAGACAGTTATCGAGGCTCCTGTCAACAAACATAAGGTATATGGGGTCAGAATCGGATGTCATTTGGAGATAAGGAATAACATGTAAAGACTTGTTATTTACTGAGGCAGAAAGGAGAAAGCAGAACCAAGGAAATACAACCAATGACGACAGTAACGCAATAACACTAAAAAGCATCTGAACTCCGATTAAAAAAGCAATAACTAAAAGTCTTAGAATACAAATAAAATATTTCCCCTTTGAATAGCAATGGAAACGAAGGGAGGGGAACACGGCAAACGGTTGCTGTCTTTTGGTTTTATTTAACTATTTTTCTTCGTTCCAAGGTAGGGTCTGAAGGAGGAAGAAGGTCTATATCATGAAGCGGCTGAGGCGAAAAAAAAATTTTTTTTTTCCATAAGTGACTGGAAATGTCAAACAGGTGCTCAGAATGGGAATGAGTGGGTGGAAATCTTTCAGGAAATCAAGTCTCACAGCCTGTGGCATTCCCACTGCACCAGGCTCCGGAAACTAATTAGGGGGCGGAGCTGTCTTCTACTCCACTTGTAGTACATTGTATCTCTCTACTGTATCAGAGCGCTTTCCCCTCCCATCTGCAGGGCCCCGGGAACCCAAGGGGCCTCTCCAGGGATCTTTTTTCCTTCCAAGGGAAGGAATGGAGACAAGTGTCATTTTGGTGACTTGGCAAAGCATCCCCGTCCCTTTCACCCCCTTCGCTCTCCCCCCGCCCTCCGTTCAGCTAAGATCACTGGCTGCTCTTCCTGGCTCCATGCACCCTCCCCCTCCCTTCGCGCCCCTCTCCCCACCGAGGGGCCAGCGCTCCATTACCCTCCTGCAGGATGTGGGTGGGCTGCACCGCCTGCACTCGAAACTGCCTGGCGTTCCAGCCGGGGCTTGGAGCCCGCACCACCTCGCTCTCCGACAGCCAGGTCGCAGTCTCAAAGTTGTCCCCGCGGGCCAGGGCGTCCGCCTCGGCCCGGTGCACCGCTACCTGGTCAAACTGGTAGAGCCCGCCGGCGTGGTCAAAGTGGACGTGGGTGGCCACGGCCAGCAGCGGCCGCCGCACCAAGTCCTCTCCTTTGTCCGGGTCCTGCAGGAGGCCGGCCGAGTACAGGTACTCGGGCAGGCTTCGAAGCCCCAGCCCGGTGTCGATCACCACGTCCTGCTCCGTGCCGCGCACCAGCCAGATGTTAGCGCGGTTGCCGGACTCGAAGAAGCGCTCCTGGATCCAGAAGATGCCGTCGCCCAGGGACTTGTGCGCGTACCACTCCAGAGCCGACATGCCGGGGACGGGGATGTGAGTGGGGGGGGGGGGTGGGTGCAGGGGTGCAGGCGTGCGAGCAGATAGCAGTGCGGCAGGGCCTCTCCCTCTCTCCCGGCTGCTGACACAGCTGCGGCTCCCACAGGCTGTCGGCGCCGTCTGGAGAGGAGGAGGGCTCGGCTGGGGGCTCAGTCCAGGGGGGCTGGGCGCGGGAGAGGCTGCGCTGCGGAGGGCCAAGAGGAGGGGCGGGCTAGGGGCGGGGGGTGGGGGAGGTGGGAAGGACGCAGTAGCAACAGCAGCCTCGACTGAGCCCCCGCGAATGGGCGTCGCGGGGCAGCGCCTTCCAATTGCAGCGCAGAGCCCACTGCAGCAGGGAGAGAGAGCGCGGAAAGCTGCACCTTCTCGCTCCACCCTCCTCACCCCGGGGTGGATCAAACTGCAGCAACGGCAGGGAGGGGGGAGGCAGAGAGAGCGACGTCTGCAAAGCCACAGGTCCCGCGCGAACGAGAGTGAGCGCGCGTGCCCGAAGCTCGCGGGGGCCAAGCGCGCCTTCTAGTGCTCGCCAAACCGGCCAGGAAAGGGTGGGGGCGAGGCTGGTCAGGCAGCAGGCAGGGCGCCTGCCCAGGGCTGAAAAAGCTTGCAGTGCAGGGGGCGGGCCTTGGGGCGGGGCTAAGAGGTCTCAGCCGGCTGGAATTTGAATGCTATTCTGGAGGGGGAAAAGAGAAGGGAGGGGTTCAGTTTCCTTGGAGGTGGAACCCTGCGACGAGGAGAGGCTGCACAGGTAACCCAGCACCCTTTCCCTGCCAGCCTTCGAGGGCACACTTGTGAGTTTGAGAACATAAGCAGCCCCAGCCAAGTCCGGCCAGGGAGGAGAGGTAGGCGATGGGGACCTTGAGGGGAAAGGGGAGTTAACGTGGAGCCTGAGGAAAGGGCTCTCGGTTTGGAGAAGTTAATTGAAAACATAGCCCCTGGCCAGAAAAGAAGTTTGGACAGGGCTGCCTCTTTCTGCTCCCATTAAACCCCAAATGTCCTGTAATGGTTTGTATCTGGTTGTAGCCTAGTCCCCTTGCTGGGGCTGCCTGCAATGAGATTAGAAAGTAATTTACTCATTACTAAGGACTTTGTGGGCCATTAACCACGTTATGTGCACACAACCTTCTGTAGTGGAGGGGTTTCCCCCCTAGGTATTTGGTTATTGCAGTAGGCTTGCAGCAAAGGGCAGAACACTTAGTATCTTTTTACTTACCTGTCAGCACATTAAACCATGTCATGAGGTGAGGAGGGCTGCCAAGCTTTAAAACAAAATAAGATCTATTTTTTACACTTTTTTTCATGGTTGGAATAAAGGCAAGGCTGGGGGATGGGAATTGAAAGAGGCTGAGCTAAGTAAGAGGAGCTAGCTGGCAAAAGATGAATTGGGGAAGACTGGAAAAGGTGGGTGTGGCCCAGTTAGCCACCTAAAAGAGTTTTCCTTTTAATCTGCCCTCCTTCCCCTCCTCCCCACCCATATGTTGACTACACCCACCAAGATTTAGAAAATTTCTTTGGATTGTTGCCTCAGGCTGACTTTGGTCAGTAAAGCTGCTCTGTCCACACAGCATTCTTAGGCCTTCCAAGATTGAGAGTTTCTTGAAGTCTGCAATGTGAGGTCATAAAAGATAATTATCAAGGTGTATTTTATGGAGGCAAATACTAACATGCCTTGCTGTTTGAGGGAGAGTATACTATTAGGCTATAAATTGCTTAAGATGACTTTAGTCATGATGGAGGTGTTGCCTGGAAATTTTGTATTTACCTTTCTATTTGTGTTTGACATAGCCTTTTAGAAAGTCAACAAGCATTTATTAAGCACTTACTATATGCCTTCCCTGTGCTAAGTGGATACAAAAAAAAGGCAGAAATCCCAGTCCGTGCTCTCCAGCAGCTCACAGTGTGATGGAGAATACAACAGAGGACATCTGAATGTTCTGAGATGATGGCCTGGATTTTTTTTTCAGTGAATATGAGGCTAGGTTCACAGCTGAGGTAGAGGGCATAGGAGACCAAGAGAGGCTTGAGGAAGGATGAAAAGGTTTAGAAAAGTCACCCCAATTGGTGGGATACTAAATGGATTTGGGAGCAGGGCCTACTTCCTTTCTTTTTTGGCCTGCTTTATATGTAATAGGTAATTAATATCAATCAATCAGGAAACCTTTATTAAGCCCAAGTATGTGCTAAGCACCGAGATGTGAATTGAGGCAGAGTCCTTCCCTTCTAGAAGCTTACAGTCTAATGGGGGAGAGACAAAATGCAAATATATAAAAAATAAGTGTACAGTGTGGTAGAAAGTTAAGAGGAAAGGCACTAGAATTAAGAGGGGTCCGGCAGGCTTCCACTGAAAGAAGGAATTTTAGTTGGAAGTTAAAGTAAGCTAGAAAGATCAGTAGTGGGAAATGAGGAGGGAGAGTGTTCCAGGTATTGGGGACAGCTAGAGAAAATGCCCAAAGTCAAGAAATGGACTGTTTTGTTCATGCAACAGCCTGAAGGCCAGTGCCGTTTAATCAAAGTATGTGTTGGGGAGTAAGATCTAAGAAGACTGAAAAGGTAGGAGAGGTTAGGTAATGAAGGTCTTTGCCAAACAGAGCATTTTATATGTGATCCCAAAGTCAATAGGGAGCCACTAGAGGTTTGTTTTGTTTTGGTTGGGTTTTTTTGTTTTTTTTTTTTTTTGAGTAGGGAGGTGACATGGTTGGACCTGCACTCTAGGAAAATCACTTCAGTGTTTGAATGGAGGATGGATTGGAGAGAGGAAGAGACTAGAGGCAGGCAAACCCACCAGCAGGCTATTAAAATGGTCCAGGCCTGAGGTGATGAGGGCCTGTACTCTAGTAGTGGCAATGTCATGGTGAGAAGGGGGCTGCATTCAAGAGATATTGCAAAGGTGAAATTGACAGGCTTTGCCAACAGGATATATGAGTGAAGGTGACACCAAGGTTGTGAGCTTGAGGGACTGCAAGGATGGTGTTGCCCTCCTCTGTGATAGGGAAGGTGAGGGGTGGGGGAGGGTTTAGGGAGAAAGTTAATGAGTTCAGTTTTGAGCATGTTTAGTTTAAGATGTCTGCTGGACATCCGACTCTAGATGTCTGAAAGGCCTTAGGAGATTCAAGATTGGAGGTAAGCAGAGCGCTTGGGGGTTCAGTCCAGGATAGGTAGATTTGAGAGTCATTAGCATAGAGATGGTAAGTGAATCCTTGGAAGCTGATGAGATAGTCAAGTGAGGTAGAATAGGAGAAGAGAAGAGGGCCCAGGACCAAACACTGAGGGGATGCACAAAGTTAGAAGGCTGATCTGTAAGAGGATCCAGCAAAGGAGACAGAAGGAGTGGACAGATAGGTGGGAGAACTCAGAGGGAGTGATGAACCAGAACCCCTGGGGAAGAAGAGATATCAAGGATAGAGTGGTGAACAGTGTCAGAGGCTGACGAAGTCAAGGAGAATGAGAATGGAAAAAAGGCCACCAGATTTGGCAACTAAGAAATCATTAGTAACTTTGGAGAGAACAATTTCATCGGAATAAGTTTGAAAGCCAGATTATATGAAACCAGAACACTGTTGTGTTTCCGAGGACTTTGCTGCAGTCATCAAAGAGATACATAACCATTATAACATCCTGCTTAGGTGGAAGACTCTTTCTTTGGTTCATTGAAGACTATTGAGGATCGTGGCTTAGTTCTTAAAACACGTGGGAAGCTTTTGTCTTGAATTTCTCAAAAGTGCATAAAATTCGTTTTTATGATCAGGTAATAATGGATTAATTGTCCCCTCAGATTTAACGACCAACAAATGTGTTGCTAATTTTAATAGGCCCTATAGCACTGTACAAAATCTGTAGTTTCTTCCCACTGTCACTGTTTACATGCTTATATTTTTAAGCAGCTCTAAAGATGGAGGAAAAGGTATCCAACAAGCATTTATTAATACCCAGTAAGTGCACTTTTAAAAGGCACTATTAAGGCTGCAGATTGTATAAGATATCCTTCACTTGGTGAGTTTACACTTAGGGGAGCTTTAGGAAAAAACACCTACAATTATGAGACCAAATTAAAGATTCTAACAGGAAAGTGATTACAGAAGGTATCACATAAGGTAAGGTATTTTACAAGAAGGTGACTTTGAGTTGGGATTTGAAGAAGCAGTGGGGTATAGTGGAAACCTGCCAGGCAGATCGGGGTTCAAGTTTTGTTCAGACACATACTTAACCGGGACCAGGGACTAGTCACTTCACTTCTCAAGTGCTTGTGGCAACTCTCTTAAAACCTTAAGTTGCAGAAAAGGTGACGACTAGCATTAATGAAGGGAATTCCTTGGCAGTTCCCTATGGCTTCTAGGGGGATTGGAGAGGGGAGTCTGGGGTAGAGGAAAAGGGATCAGCCCAAGCAAAAGCTTTAACTAGAGAGGTAACAATGAGTAGAACCTTGGCTGAAATGCAGGGAATTTGGGGAGTTACTGGATTGAGAAAGAGGGGTACAGAACCCAAGAGATTCGTCAGTGGTCTGAAGACTAAGTAGATCGCTTGGTGAGTTGAGGGCTACTATAATCCAAATGTAAAGTGATAACTGAAGGAATTAGGTGGTGTGGTAAAGAAATGTTTAAAAGATAGATTAAAAAGGCAGCTGAAAGAATCATTAGGAGGTAACAAAAAAGAAAGTTTACTCTGAAGTTTTGGTTCTGGGTGATTGGGAGGCAGTGTTAGAACTGGATTTTATTAGGATTAAGCCTGTGATTAGGAAAAACTGAGAAGGATAAGAAGAACTGATATAACAGAATTCTGTTAGACTGTGGTTAGACCATTCTTCCCCCACCCTCACCCTCCAAATAGGAAGGTGGCTTTGCTGAGGCCTTTTAGCTCTGTTTTTCTATAGCAGTATTTTACTGAAAGCATAGAAGAAGATGGTGTCCTTAATTTGGAATCCACTAGGAAAATTATCAGTTTCTTTTCCTGCCATTTACAGCTAGCTGTACTTTTTTCTGGGTCTGAAGATTTAGTCTTTAGGAAGTGGGAGACCATTAAATATTATTGAAGAAGCAAGTATTTTAAGAGGATTAATCTGGCAACAATTTGCTAGGGGATTTGGAGGTGGGGAGGTGGGGGTGGGGACTAGTTGTGAACCTAATAACAGTCGTAGGCCCTGGAGTACGGAATGAAAAGGAGGAAAAAAATATAAGAAAGATTTCAAAAGGAGAATTCAGTAGGCATAGTGTTTAGTCAGTAAACATTTATGAAGCACCTCCTATGTTCCAGGCACTCTGCTAAGTGCTGGGAATGCAAAAAAGAGGTGAAAGACCGTCCTTGCCCTCAAGGGGCTCTCTATCTAATTGGGGTGACAAGCAAACAAACATGTACAAACTAGTTATATATAGGCTATCTAGGAATTAATTAAAAGAGGGAAGATGGGTAGAATTAAGAGGGGTTGGGAAAGACTTCCTGTAGAATTTGGAATTTTATCTGGCACATAAAGGAAGCCAATAGGTGGAGATGAGGAAGATCATTCCAGGTATGAGGGACAGCCAGAGAAAATGCCCACAGCCATGAGATGGTGAATCTTGTTTGTGGAACTGTAAGGAGACCAGTGTCGCTGGATCCAAAAGTAAGTACATGGTGGAGAGCAAGGTGTGAGAACCCTGGAAAGGTAGGAAGGGGGTTAGTTATGAAGAGCTTTGAACAGGATTTAGTCTTTGCTCCTGGAGGTACTAAGGGGCCCCCGGAGCTTATTGAGTAGGAAGGAACTTGGGTTGTTGGAGG